AGCAGCTCTACTCTCAAACACATAGGGTCGCCATGAGTCGGAATCAACTCAATGGCAATGGGATGGGAAGGACTGGGTGAAGGCCACAGCCCTCGTGGAGGGGAGTGATGCTTTTGGCTGGAAAGCCCTTCACTACTGGGCCATGTTCTAGACCAAGTGCCAGGTCCCTGTGGCAAGAGTCTGTGACTGCTGAGCACACTGGGAAGGAAAAGCATCTTACTTTCCAATTAGCTATTTCTTTCTGGGGCCGGCTCAGCTCAGAGAACTCAGCTGGACTCCATTTTTGCCTTGTGCTTAAGTCTTAAGTCACGGTAAAATTCCCGCAGACCAATTTTTAATACTGGTCTTGATGCAAGAGGCAGGAAACAGCTGGATTATCTGATTCCAAGAGCAGCGCTCAGGGCTAGCATATTAAAGGCAGGAAAAACACCTTTAGGTTGTAAACAGAACAAATTTAATGTGGCCACGATTGGAAATAAATCAGAACACCCACATAGTTATTTAAATAGTCACTTCTAAAATGACAAATGTGCCTTGGAGAGTGCCCGCTTGCTCTTCTGGGGGGTAGGAAGGGCATCTGAGCAATGTACTGTGGATGAGGGTGTAGGGGTGCTGGAAACAGGCAAAAAGACCTAGAGGGTGTTGAGTGGGCACACGCTTCCATCTTCATAGTGACACTGCCATCTACTGGAACTTTTCAGGCACCTTCTTTGCGCCAAAATCCTGCAGTCAGTTTCGCTTCAGCATTTTCTTGGCGTGGTCTCATTTCTCATTTGATTTACTATTCTATTTGTTGTTATGAGCTTTGTCTCCCCTTTCAGAAATTAATTACTGTAATTATCCAACTTTTAATAGCTGCTGATTTGGCATCTGCAGAAAATATTTGAGAAAATGCACCACTACATTTCATTTGCATATTTGAGAGACATTCAGGAAGAATAAGACTTTTCCTAAATTACTTATTGTGACCTGAATAGAAAAAAAGTATTCTACCAGGCAGAATTCTCATCTGCATACTCAATTTGTCCGATTAGCATCACAGACTAAGCAAAACACAAAAGTCCTTCCCCACACAGTGGTGATGTGACAACTCCCGGGGTCTATCTGAAACTTGGGGCTCATCCATGGGATTTCCACACATGCAGGAAACAGGAGGACACGCCACTGCCCCTCTGAGTCACTTCATCAGCTATCACGGTGGTGGGTCTTGGCAGAACGACGGCCCGTTTGGCTGTTAAGACCATCGAAACCACCGGCTTGGACATTCTCGTTGTACTAAATACAGCTAAAGAGGCTGGACTTCCTCCCTTCGAGGTGATTTCACCTGAAAAAATGTGCAAGGCCCAGAAGCATGGCCCTGCATTCTGCAAGAGCTGCAAAGATGAGAAACCCACTCATCCCACATGCCCTGAGCTGGGAGCAGCAGCAAACGTCAGAGCTTCTCCTCAGCAGCCCCAGGACCTCAGGAAGTTACCCAGCTTTCCTGAGGCCCATGCAACTGCAAGATGGGAGAGCCACATACACCGAGTGAGCTGGTGTGAAGATGGGTGAAGTAACACTCCTCAGCATGTCTCAGCTTCTGACATGCTCTCGGCAGGCCCTGTGCTTGAACACCCGGGTAAAGACGGGAAGCTCCCAGGCTTGAGGTAGCTCACTAGCTACAAGACATCCGATTTAGGGATCAAATATTTTCATCTAGCAACTGGACGCTTAAGGCAATTATGGTGGCTAGTCTTTAAAAATGTCCCCACCATTCCCCTGTCCTGCCCCTCACATCAGCATGGGAGGCTGTTTCCCACCCTGCTGAAGCTGGGCTGAGCTTGTGACTTGCTTTAACCAACAGAAGACTTGTGGAAGCAACAATAGCTTGTTCCAGGCCCAAACCTCAGGAAGGCCTGGCAGCTTTGGCTTTTGTGTCCTCGGGAATCCTGAGCTGTTACGGAACCTGCTGAATAGCACATGGGGGACACTACTTTAGAGACCACATGTAGAGGGCTACATGAAGGAGAGCTCAGAATCCCACTGACAGCCTGAACCAAGGCCCCAGACTTAGGAACCCAGACGAGTCATCCCAGCCGGCCCCTTACCATTTGAGGCAGCCTTGCTGTGATGTCATCTCTGCAAGTGAAGAGGCCCTCATGGATGGGACAGCCCTGCTGAGCTCTGTCTAATTCCTGACCCACACAATTGTGAGAAATACTAAAATGGTTATTGTTAATTTGGGGGACAGTTTGTTACACAGCACTCGGTAACTGGAAGCGCAATCAAACCCATTTTATCCTGGCCTATTCACTTCTTTTCTGCAAATGTTTAAAATTATAAAATGCATTTCATTTCACTATTAAATTTATCTCCATTCATTTCCTAATCATTTTATCCTCACTCTCCAGCAGAGGGCCAGGAACCAGAATGAAAAGTCCAGTCACCAAAGAGATAAGTTGACATGGAACCTGGTTAATGTCTTCCGTAATCCTGTACCAAATAGCACAGGATTTCCTTCCTGAAAACACTTCCCTTTCCTGCTCTGGACCCATCACGGATCTTGGCTCCTCTCCTCCACCCCTCCTCTCGCTGACCTCTGAGGGATTGCCATAATTACTAGGTCATGGTCATTTTCATGCTGTGATTCAGAACGCCAACTAGTGGTCATTTCCACCTAAAACATGTGAGCACCTTTTAAACTCTGGCCACAGCAAAGCTGCGCCCCTCCATGTCTCAGCGTGCCAGACTCCCAACAGTCTTTCTGGGAAAGCCACCGCTGTGGAGGGGAGGGCCCAGGAGACATGTCACCAGGCTTCATGCCAGATCCACCTACTGTGAATCTTTCATCATTTCAATTCTCCAAACCAGCTGTTGTCAAGTCAGTTCTGACTCATGGCGACCCCATATGTGTTAGAGTAAAACTGTGCTCCATGGGGTTTTCAATGACTGTGATCTTTCAGAAGCCAATCTCCAGGCCTTTCTTCCAAGGAGATTCAAACTGCCAACCTTTCGGTTAGCAGCCAAGTGCCTAACCTTTGTGACACCCAGGGACTGCTGGTGACAATAATAACCCCCAACAAAACTGCCATGAGGATTAAATAAGCAATGTCTGGTACATAGTAAAGGCCCAGTTAAACTCATTCCATTTTTCTGCTAATAAATCTATAGTGGTACATTTTTTAGGTCTTCCACAGCGATTTCATTTTCTTTCTCAAAACTTCTGCTTTCCCATACAAACTTGCCTCCTGCAATGAGGTTGTCAGTTCTGCCAGGACAGAAACTTGGGAGATGCCCTCGACTGCTCCCTCCTCCTACTCTCTAGATCCCATTCATCTCAGGGTCCTGTGGCTCTATCTCTGAATGGATCTTGTTATGGACTGAATTGTGTCCCCCTAAAACATGTGTTGGAAGCCTACACCTGTGCAGGTAATCTCATTTGGAAAAAAGGTTTTCTTTGTTATGTTAATGAGGCCCTATCAGTGTAGGGAGTGTCTTAAATCCAATCACTGCTGCATTATAAGGACCAGCATAGACACAGAGACAAGGAAGCAAAACACAGGAGAAGACAGATGCCATGTGAACATCACCAAGGAACCAAGGAATGCTGGAAGAGACAAGGATCTTCCCCCAGAGCCCACAGGGAGAGACCCTTCCCTAGAGCCAGTGTTGTGAATTTGAACTTACTGCCTCCTGAACCGTGAGAAGATAATTTCTGTTCTTTAAAGCCACCCACATGTGGTATTTGTGTTACAGCAGCACTGGGAGACTAAGACAGGTCTCTTACCTGCTTTCTCTTCTCACCTTCCCACAGACACCCCTCAATCCACACTACCATCCTGTCTCACCTAGACTGTGGAAACAACTGCCCAGCTGGTTTCCCCTTATTCTCGCCCTCCCACAGACACCCCTCAATCCACACTACCGTCCTGTCTCACCTAGACTGTGGAAACAACTGCCCAGCTGGTTTCCCCTTATTCTCACCCTCCCACAGACACCCCTCAATCCACACTACCGTCCTGTCTCACCTAGACTGTGGAAACAACTGCGCAGCTGGTTTCCCCTTATTCTCGCCCTCCCACAGACACCCCTCAATCCACACTACCGTCCTGTCTCACCTAGACTGTGGAAAGAACTTCCTAACCGATTTCCCCTTAGCTACTCCACACAGCCCCCCACTTCGAGTCTATCATCCACGCATCGGCCAAAGTGATATGTTTATCAAAAAAAAAAAAAAAAAAAAAGATGTCATTCTCCGCATCTACCCTGGGAGGGGCTCCTTGTTGCCCTTGGGATAAAATTCCAAGCCTTGGCAAGGCCGCACCCTGCGCATCTCCTGCTCTGCCACTCTGCTCCTGCCCAGTGTCTGTTTCTGGTTCCTCCCCTCACAGTTAATTCCTACTCTTTTTTCAGGTCCCGGCTTCGCTGTCACTATCTAAGAGATGGTCTCCTGACCTCCAGGCACCCTTTAGATTAGATTTAATTAGGGTTGTCCCCCACTCCATTCTCATTGCTCCCTCTCACCCCCAGTTTTTCCTCTTAGTATCCCTTGTCACAGCTTGTAATTGCATATTCATTTGTGAGTTTGTTTATTTAAAGCCTGTCTGCACTATTAACAAACCCCCCAGTCCCCAGCGGAGATGGAGGCACGATGAGGAACATGTCTGTGTCCATCTTATTAACCCTGCACGGCCCACACACCGCACAAGGCCAGGACCACAGTGGGCACACCCACCAGAGCCCAGTGCTGTGCTTGGTACCTAGCACTTGCCCCATGTTAAGTGTTGTTTTTAGAAGGTTGTTTCACCAACAGAAGTGATCTGTTTTGAATGGCCTTGGAAGGGTGGGCATAACCCAATCAAGGGTCTCAGACACACTGACATTTCCCCACAGGAAGTGGTTCCCAAAGAGGAGGTCTTGCTAATGCAGGGGTCACCAAGAGCAAAGGCAAAAAGAAAAAGGAAGTTTTAGGCCAGAAGGAGCTTAAAGGATCAGTCATGTCAAAAAGACAAAGCAGGTACCTGGGGGTGATCTTCATGGTACACCCGGGGCAGCAACCTCACCATGACACACACCATCCCGGGGTGCATGATTGCAGCATCACCTTCTTCCGTCCTGCAAGAAAGAGGGAAAGAAGGACACCACTCTGAGTCCTTTCTAGTCTCTTCTTTTCACACAACTTTCTGGATCTTTCTTTCTGAGACGCAGCAAGATACACATCCTCAATCTACCATTTATTATCCATATGACCTTGAACTAATTAAACTAAGTCTCATTTTCCCAATGCAAAACGATCTAACCATACCATATGTTCCTCATAGAGACTTATAGAATAATGCTCTTGTGCTCTAAGGCAGAGTGTCAGAGTTGAGAGTTGACATTCAATGGAAGTTAGTTCCCTGGTTATCTTCTCTCCTGTCCTCCCCCAGATAAGTGAGAGATCGAGAAGCTCTCATTTTATATTAAACACACACACACCACACTTTCGGATCCAATCAAGATGGTGTAAGCACACTCCACTCTCCTTCCCACTGAAGGCAACTCAAAACCTTGGACAAAATGCTTGGAGCAGCTCTCTGAGGACTCTGAAAAGTAAATGTTTGGGAGAAGAAAAGCAGAACTCAAAGTACTATGGAACTGGAAAGGAGTTTGCTAGATTTTTTCCCTCTATTATCTACTGGTATGGACTCAAAGGCAGCCTGACACCTGGAGCTGTGCACCAGGCGTGGACAAGACAGAAAGAGCTCCAAGGGAAGGCCTCTATTTCTGGCCTGAGGAGCATGAAAGGAGACTCCTACAGATCAGAGAGGAAATACTACCTCGGGATCTTCTCACTGAGTTCTCCCTTCTTTCCCATCTCAGACTCCAGGCAATCAGGCGTCAGCATTAACACTGACAATCGCAGTGATCAGGCAGGTGTCTAAAAATCTCAGGGAGAAGAATTCCTCTCTGACTCAAGGAACTATGGCCCCGAGAGTGTGGGTTAAATCCCCAGTGCTTTTTTTAATCTCTGTGTCCTCTCACCACTTGGTCCCAAAGACAGATGCAGGGAAATTAAAGCCTCAGCTTTCAAGACAAAGAAGCAGGAAGTGGGAAAGTGTTGTGGAAATGATGAAGAGGAAGAGGCTAAAGAAAGTGAGAACTTTACATTTTGTACTAACTTCTGGGTTCAATTCTGAGCTGCGTGTGCATCGATCTGTCCCTAAACCACATACCAAAGGCTTTGAGAACTAAACAATGGGGCAGACCACCACCCAAGACTGGCTACTGCATGGGGCAAATGAGGGGTAGATCAACTAGCATTGCAAAGCCTTTAAAAACAGAACTGATATTGGAAGCACAGCCCACAGAAGGTGGGTGGAAACTTGAAGCCTGAATCTAACTGGGTCAGTTGCCTGCTAAAATAAAATAATATGTCCATAATACGTAAACAAGCACCATAGCTTATGAGATTAATATTCAAAATGTCCAGGATACAATTTGAAATTACTCAGTATATAAACAAACATGAGAATCTCAATATCTCATGTGGTAAAAGAGAATTGACAAATGCCAACACCAAGATAACACAGATGTTGGAATTATCAAAGATGTTAAAGCAGCTATTATTAACCAAATTCCAATAAATAAGGGTGGAAACTTTTGAAATTAATGGAAAAATATAAAGTCTCAGTATAGAAATAGAAGCTATAAAAAATAATCAAATGGAGATTTAAGAACTGAAAACTACAATACTTGAAATAAAAAATTTGCTAGAGGAGAACAACAGCAAAACGAAGATGAAAGACGCAAGAGTGGTGAACTTGCAGACAGATCAGTCGAAACTGCCCAGTCTGAAAAGCATAAAGAAAAAGGATTTTGTTTTTAATAAATAGGGCCTCAAGGTCATGTGTGACAACACCAAAAGATCTAACATTCCTGTCCAGTGGAATTCCAGGAGGAGAGGAAAAAGAATACAGTGTAAAAAGAAAATATTTGGGAAAATTTTAGCCATTATTTCTTTAAATTTGGTGAAAGACATAACCTTGCAGATTCAAGAAGCTTATCAAAGCTCAAACTAAATCAACTAATGAAATCAATGTCCAGACACATCATAATCAAACTACTAAACTCTAAAAATGAAGAAAAAATCTTGAAAGTAGCCAAGAAAAAAAAAAAAAAAAAATGGAAGAACAATTTGAATGACTATGGATTTCTCATTAGAAAGCAGGGGAATACATTCTTTTTCTTTTCTTTTTTATTGTACTTTAGATGAAAGTTTACAGAGCAAATTAGTTTCTCATTAAACAATACACATACTGTTTTGTGACATTGGTTGTCAACCCCGTGACGTGTCAACACTCTCCCCTTCTCGACCTTGGCTTCCTCATTTCCATTTGTACAACTTTCCTGTCCCCTCCTGCCTTCTCGTCCTTGCCCCTGGGCTGGTGTGCCCATTTAGTCTCATATACATGGTTGAACTACATGTATTATTGTTTGTTTTATGGGCCTGTCTAATCTTTGGCTGAAGGGTGAACCTCAGGAATGACTTCAGTACTGCATTAAAAAGGGTATCTGGCGGCCACAGTCTCGGGGTTTCTCCAGTCTCTGTCAGATCAGCAAGTCTGGTCCTTTTCTGTGAGTTAGAATTTCATTCTACATTTTTCTCCAGCTCTGTCCAGGCCCCTCTATTGTGATCCCTGTCAGAGCAGTTGGTGGTGGTAGCCGGGCACCATCTAGTTGTGCTGGACTCAGTCTGGTGGAGGCTGTGGTAGTTGTGGTCCATTAGTCCTTTGGACTAATCTTTCCCTTGTATCTTTGGTTTTTTTCATTCTCCCTTGGTCCAGAGGGGGTGGGACCAGTGGAGTATCTTAGATGGCTACTCACAAGCTTTTAAGACCCCAGATGCTACTCACCAAAGTAGAATGTAGAACATTTTCTTTATAAACTATGTTATGCCAATTGATGACAGATGTCCCCTGAGACCATGATCCCCAACCCTCAGCGCAGTAATTCAGTCCTGAGGGAGAGCAGGGGTGGGGAGAGACAAACACTAACTAGACAATAGATAAGTGGTAACTTGTGTGATGGGTAAGACAGTACGCAATACTGGAGACGTCAGCACAACTTGACCAAGGTATATACATTTTTAAAGTACTAAAAAGAACTGCTAGAATTCCATATCCAGCAAAAATATCTTTCAGGATTGAAGGCAAAATAAAAACATTCTCAGATGGAGGAAAATAAAAAGAATATGTTGCCATAAGAGTTTCCTTAAATACTAACAGAAGTTCTTCTGATGAAAGGGAAATAATAACAGAAGGAAACCTGGATCTTCAGGAATAAGGAAAGAGCAACAGAAATGGTAAATATTTGCATAAATATAACAGACTATTTTTCTCCTCTTAAGTTCTTTAAAATATGTATGATGGTTCAAAGCAAAAACTGTATTAAATGTAATATACATGACAACTACAACACAAAAGGAGGACAATCAATAGAGCTAGAGGTGAAAAATATTATTTCTATTATTAATATTACTTCTAAGCAGACTGTGAAAAGTTAAGTATGTGTACTGTAATCTCTAGAGCAAGCACCTAAAAAATTATACAAAAAGAGATAGTCAAAATTCAATAGATAAATCAAAATGGAATACTAAAATAGATTCAAATAATCACAAAAACCAGGAAAAGGGAAACAGGAAGGATAAAAGAGGATACAAGGAGAAAAGAAATAATAAGATGGTAGACCTAAATCCAAACATATCAATAATTACATTAAATTTAAATGGTCTAACAAACCAATTAATAGACACATATTGTCAGAAAAAAAAAACAACAACAACTATATGCTATCTGAAAGAAATCCACTATAATTATAATGATAAAGGTAGGCTAAAAATAAAAGGACAGGAGGAGGCAGGGCAAGATGGTGGAGTAAGCAGTCACTCCCATTTATGCCCCAGCACCTAACCCACTGAACAACGAATAAAAACAAGCACAAACTGAGATCTCACAACTCCAGACAGCAGCTGAAGTGTTGGGGAGTCGAGGTAAGTCCAGAAACAGGGGCGAGGAGGAGTGGGGGCAGCACAGAAGCTGGGAGACCCTAGTCACTGGCACCTGGAGGACTGGGCTCATCGCAGCCGTTTAGGGAAAAGGAAGGGCAACATCCAGAGCAAACAACACAGGATGGGAGCTAAACTGACGAAGCTGTAACCCAATTTTTAAGGTGGCGCAGACTGGATGTGGGAGTTCTTGGCCTGCACACTTGGGGTAGGGCAGAAGGAGACTGAGGTGTTGCCAGAGAGTGCTGTTGAGTCTCTCCGACCCCAAGGTAGATGAGCTCTCGGACCCACACACACTGAAAAACTGCACAACCCAGCATTCAGCCAGGGCAAGAAATATACTTCAGACAGGCAACACAGAGAGAAACAGCTGACTCCCTGCCTACGGTGGACACATGTGAGAGAGCCTATACAGGGGCGCCAATGAGGGAAAGACATAAAGTGCTCCACACCTTGGCCTCAGGAAAATCGAGCCCCACGGCTTATGCCCTTGTCCATGGCCAGTGAAAACACCCCATGCATGCTCACTGAGCTGCAGGAAAATCGAGCCCCACCGCTTACGCCCTTATCCATGGCCAGTGAAAACGCCCCGTGCATGCTCACTGAGCTGCAGAGATTAAGCCATCCCAAACTCCACGTAAGGGGGTAAAGGAAATCAACCTGAGAGGTACACTCAGAGCCACAGCCAAAACCTCAGAACACAGAGGGGGCTAACACACCAGCAAAGTCAGCCACCTCAGGAAGAACCAGACAGAATAAGCACCCAGAGACTTCCGCACCCAGATGAAATCTCACACAGAACTCCTGACAAGTGCTGGAAAAAACCTAAGGACAAGAGTGCCCTCCAGTGGTTCTTAGGTGAAGATAAAAAAGAAAAAAAAAAAAAAAA